AAAGACATTCGACACGTTAATCGATATAGACTTAGTCATGCACTTCGTGGCACCGAGAATATGAAATAATAATACGAGATGTCTTCAAAGCTTTAAATCATACAGCGACAATATTACAAATTCCATTTATTCGTACATTTCGTTTTTTCTTCTTAAGCTGTAATACTATATTGATATTGCCACCATACTGCGTACCTTCAGTACATTTCCCATAACGAGGTTTTAACGGAATATTAAAGAAGATGTTGAGAAAAAAAGAAGAGAGAATGAAAAAGAGAAAAGAAAGAGAAAAGAGAGAGAGATAGGGTGAGATAGATACTGCTATAGCGAGAAGAATATTTACGGATTCTTATTCAGTATAGCAAAAGCATGGATTTCTTTGACACGCGCTATTTTAGGATTAACAAGTTCTTTCTGTCTTTCATCGGTCTCTGGCCATATCAAACATCCTTCATAAAGCTTCTAACTCAGTCGTTCGCTATATTTGGCGTTACAATAATGTGCGCGCCACAGGTAGTTCACTGGATGATACATTAATAATATTATTCCCTATGATTTTTGGAATAAAATGTACTTCTAAAGAGTGAAACTTACTCTTAAAAATTTACAGTTGCCACTCTTTTTCAACAAAATGGCTCAATTGTCATTCTTTGTCACTCTTTAAAATTAGATCCCACTCCAAAGATTTTAGAGAATATACTTGACGAATTTAAAGAAAATATATAAATTAAATTATATAAAAAAAAAGTTTGACATATACTAATCCAAATAATTCTTTATATGTCACAGAAACAATTGTTTAAACGCGAGTTTACATTTTACCCGAGTATTATGTGAAATATAATCAATGCACCATATATTCATTATTTATTATTAGATTGCATATATGTTCAAGCATGTGGATGATTTGGATAATATGTTCGAGCTCATGCCAATTCTAGCTGGTACAGTGATATGTATTGCAAAAATCGTCAGTCTGACTTGCAATTCCAAAATGGTAAGCATGATCATCGCATTGGATCGGCTTGTTTTGAACGAGCGTCGCTTCAGTTTAAGGGGCTTCTGCAACATATGCAAGATGACTGGAACAATCTATTGATCAGTGAGGAAACGCAAATTTTAACGCATTATGCTGAAAAAAGTCGAAAGCTCATGTTGGCGTATTCAAGTATGAAATCAATTTCGCACTGGCAAATATCGGATTTATTTGAATTAAGTATTAACAATAGAAGGTTCGATATCTTTGATAAATTAAAAAAATATATAAATATTTTAAACACGCATCTTAATTAAATATTAAAGTAAAGATGAGAAATAAAAAAGAAATTACAAATAAATAATAGCTAGCTTTAATAAATTTATAATTATAAATTAAAATAAGTATTTGTTTTATTAAATTAAAATATTTATTTGTTTTGCGCGTCTTAATTTTTGTTAAGAAAAAAAAAACAAAAGGAGTATTTTATTCCTTTTTCTTTATGCAGTTAGTGTAATCGGATTTGTATTCTGCTACGCTTTGTTACCTCTTACCGGACCTGTATTTGACATCATCTTACCCCTGAATGAAACAAGACCGAGAAAACTGCCACATCTCGCAGATTTTGTCATTCTCGATCAAGAAAAATATTATTACACACTTTTGCTGATCTTGTATATTGGTTATGTTGTGTGTGTTTCGATCGCGGTAGCTGCCGACATTTTGTACATTTTCCTAGTGGAGCATATTTGCGGAATGTACGACGTGTTGTGGTGAGAATTGCTTAAAATCAAATCGGATTAATAGTTAATTAATTAAAATAATTATTTGATTAATATAATCATGTAGAGAAAAAAAGAATATAATTGAGATATAGTTTGGATCACAAAGGTATGCTTATTCTATGAGCACAAGTTTTACTTTTGATACATTATAGTTCAAAAACTATCCATTATTAGGCCTTGTGTTTAGGATGTATTTTGTTTATTACATTACAAGCTACATCATATATGTATGTGAAAATTAATTCGTTTCACCAGAGTTTCAATTTTTCATGTAATTAAATCTCGCACTAATATATTATAAGAAAAATTAGATCCTAATTAAATGAATCAGTTTTCACGTATAATATGTTGAAATTTAATTTTCCGTGTAATTAGTGCGAAGACCTTTTATTGGTCATTATATGAACATCAAACTATAGAAAGATTGATAAAAAGTTCAATTTTATTCGCTGAAAAATAACTTCTCGTTCCAATAATCAATTTATTCTTTTTTTTTCTATTTTCTCTAATTTATTCGCATATTTTACCGGTAATAATTTTATTGTAACAGTAAAATACATTTGCTGGACTGTTTGTTAAACAGCAAAATTAATACATATATTCTTATATTAAATATATAATAGATAAAAACTTAATATTATTGCAATAAATTATTTTTTTCATGTAAAATTTGCTCATAGAAAATAAATTGTGAATTAGGAATTATGTATATAAAAATAGATAATTATATTTATTGCAGTCATCGTCTGAGGAATTTAGCATCGGACGATGGTTTACGATGGATAGACGGTGATTATATTCACGAGGAAATCGGTCGATATGTTCGACGTTGCATTCAACTACATGAAAGAATAAAATTGTTGGTGTGACAATTATTTTTTTTAAGAATAGCACAGGGTAGAGGGAGACTATTCCGTTAGTTTCAATTATAAAGTAGTATGAAAATTTACAAAAAACTTATATCTCAAATAACATTTCTTTGCAGTGACGTATTTATAATTACATTATACAATCATAATTGCTCCTTGCGAGTATAAACATAACTTTGAAATATTTAACACGTGTTGCTCAGAAACATGAACGAGAAATGGACGAAAAACTCCTCTCTACCTTATGTATATTCATATACTATAAAGGGTGTTCTAAAAGTAACGATAAATCTTTCAGGGATAGAATAGACTAAACTGAGAAGAAAAATCCTCTATCATTTTGCAATTTTTGCAATAGTTAACAAGATATTAATTGCTAAAATATTAATTGCCGAAAATTAGTTTTTAATAATTTTTTACTCAAATACTATCAACTTTACAGAAAAACTGCAAGAGATAAAAATTGTTTATTTTTTCCTCATAGAGCTCTAATATTTTAAGAATTTTTTCAGAATTTTTTAATACCGTATTTTCTCATGTTGGTAAAAATAAGATAATGCAGTACTAAAAAGTTGATAAAAAATTCTAAAAAAATTCTTAGAGCTCTATAAGAAAAATATAAACAATTTTTGTCTCTTGCAGTTTTTCTGTAAAGTTGATAGTATTTGAGTAAAAAATTATTAAAGACCAATTTTCGACAATTTTTAGTAATTAATATCTTGTTAACTATTGCGAAAATTGCAAAATGGTAAAGTACTTTTCTTTTTAGTTTAGTCCATTCTATCCCTGTGCGAAAAATTTATTTTTATTATTTTTAGAACCCCTTGTATATTTTACTTACCTATATCTAATTCAAACATGTCTGCATCTATTACTAAAATTTTACTTAGATCTTGATGATATTTGTCGATCCAGATTCATAGAAATGATGGAATCTACAATCTCGTTGTTTCTCTTTTTCGATGTTGGATTAGGATTTTTATTGCATACTTCTTCATGCATAATGGTGAGCATAATTCTCTAAAATCTTTGGAGTGGAATCTAATTCTAAAGAGTGACAAAGAGTGAATTGAGTCAATGTTGAAAAAAATTTAAACAATCTTTAATTGTCAATTTTAAGAGTGAGATTTTACTCTTTAAAACTAGATCCTACTTCAAAGATTTTACAGAGATAATACTTAAATTTTGAAACTTATATTGCCTAAATGGCAATATAATGTAAATATATTATCTTTTTATTGTTGATTATTGTTGGAAATATTTTCAAGTCGAACGATATTTTTTGCAGATTATAGTTCAAATGGGATCGTCTGAAATTATGCGATACGTAGCTCTTATGCTAATGCAAAGTTGCCGATTATTTTTCAATAGTTGGGCCGGGCAAGAAGTGACCGATCACAGCGTCGAAGTCTCGATAGCAGCGTAAGATAAAACTATTCAGAATTCACATAAAATATTCTCGCGATATATCTTTTTACAGTTATAATGGAATATGGTATAATGCACCCGTAAAAGTGCAAAAATTATTGTTGTTTCTAATCGCAAGGAGTCAGAAATCCTCTCAAATAACAATCGCAAAGTTATATGTCATCAATCTGGAAGGTTTCAGTAAGGTACGAACGCGGAAATGTGTATCGCGTATTATAATATAGAAACACTAGTATATCACTTTAATAACAGAAAAAAATAATATGCTATATACATAATAAATATTTTTTAAGGTAATGAAAACATCGGTTTCTTATTGCACGGTACTGATTTCACTGCGCTAGCTATTAAAAAGTGCATAGATTTCTGCAAGATTTTTCACTCGCGTATATTTCTAGTCTTTCGTATGCCAACAACTCAGGTGTTAATGTATGAAGGTATATCATATCTGTAATAAACTAGTAAATATCGATTTGTATAAAGTAATAAATAAGTTATGCTTGTATTAATGCTATCTATCGTAATATCAAATGAATATATTGTGTAAGCGTTGCGGAAACTCTTATGCGGCTTATTCAATTTATTTTATTCATTGTATTATACATTTGTTATAATATATATGGTGCTCTTATTAAACCTTAAAAAGTCTTTTTCTATCGAGGAAGGAATATCTGTTATCATAAATTCTCTCTATTTAGTTTCTTGGACATTAAAAATTATTTCATCATATACACGGATCTAGCAGAATATTTAAGCTGCAGCTATAGACTGAATGGCAAAGAGTAATATCTGCCTTTTTAACGGCGGATATGAACGCAATACGAACGCGAGTGTCAAAGCATGAACATGAATGTCTTTGATGCGGAATATTTCAAAATTAATAAACTCTTGCTGTCGATCATAGGGTTATGGCCGTATCAAACGACTTTTACAAGGACTTTGAAGACAACGTTCGCCACAGTTGCTGTCATAGTTGTATGCGCGCCTATGGTAGCTATTGAATCGATACCTGTAATATATGTTATGAAGTCAAATAAATATATTGTATGATATTTTCAAATTACTATAAATATATACAAAACGTTATATGCATATAAATACAATTAAATTGATAACATAAATAATTAAGAAATAGATATAGGTATAAAATGTTATGTAAAAATATTATTTTTTTCGTTATATTGATGTATTTTTAATTACTAAATAATTAATTTAATCCGCGTTTAAAATAATATTATGAAATATACATGAAGTGAATTACAATTACACTTTGACATAATTTGGCGAAATAAAGTAATCATTAAACATTAAAATATCGTGATCAAATAATTGTTCAGTTTTTGTTCATATTTAAACACCCGGATGATCTGGATCATATAATCGAACTCTTACCTACGATGTCCGGTACAGTATCGTGCGGGATAAAATTTGCTACTTTAATTTATTACTTCGAAAAGGTAAGCATCTTTACGAATATACATATTGCAACTCGTATAGCTGCAAATCTTGGTTCAAATGATACGTTTTCTTATAATTAGCTTAAAGATTTATTTCAACAACTTCATGACGATTGCACGAATATCTCGAAGAAAACGGAACAAATTTTTAGAAATTATATGGAAGTATCATGGAGATTTACATCGATATATACAGGTGTGATAAATCGATCAATGGTGAGTTATAATATTTACATGGGAAAAATGATTTTATTGAGTTTTTAATCCTTTAAGATTCAGACACTAATTCCGTTTAAATACAAATTTTTTCTTCATAATATGATTTTTTTAAATGTTTTTGATGAAGAATTTTATAAATCGAATAAAATTAATCAAGAAATATGATTTTCTGAAAATATACATAATTATGTATAGTCATGTTTATACAGGATATTCCAAACTTTTTGAGTGTAAATTAAAAGGATTATATGGACAGAGTCACTATTGTATTGATACAAAACATTTGGGAATCACAGACTTCTATAATTAAATTGCTTCAATGTGATAGAAAGAGATGAACCTGATTCAGAATTGTCCTTGTTCAGTTCACATATGTGTATTGATCTCTTTAAAGGGTTAAAAGTTTAAGTAGATACAGATCTAACAATAACTTTGTTGGATTATCAAAATAATCATGTAGGAAACTCAAGTATGACGAGCAATGCTGCAAAAAGTTTTTATTTTAATAAAAAGTTTAAATGTTCTATATAATTATTTTGATAATCCTATAACATTATTTTCAAATTTGTATTTAGCTAATTTTTTTAGATATAGTACTTCAATAAAATCATTCTTTCCGTGTATGTGTTCGTATGTATTAAATTATTATTGTAATTATTTCGTTTAGTTTGGATGGTTACGTTCGTGATCGGTTTTGCATTATTGCCGCTTGTTAACCCACTACTCGATGTTGTATCACCGCTAAACATAACGAGGCCAAAAAAATTTATATATCCAGCCGAAATGTTGGTCGATCACGAAAAATATTATTACATTCTGCTCACAATCATGTATTATGGTTACTTCATGGCTTGTGTGATTACATTGGCAATTGATACAATCTATTTCGTCTTTATAGAACATGCTTGCGCATTGTTCGATATCTTAAAGTACGAAGTACTTTATAGTTGAGTACAATTTATTTAAATCATTATTATTTATCTATTATTATTTACTATTATCTATAATTGTAGAGTATAGCATAAAGAGATCTCAAATTTTTCTTCTAAGATTTATAGTTATTGGTTGTTATTAGAATAATTGTTCGATATAATTGCAGCCTTTTAATTAATTAATTATATCATAATCTATAGAGTTTTTCTAACAACTATGGTACAATAAGTATATATGGTTATAAGTATTTTTTAAATATATCATATTTATAGATTAGTAAATAATAATTAAAAATGCAAAATGAATTAATAGAATTAACAATTCAAATATCTAATTATTAAAAGAGCTTTTTTGAGACAACAACGTTAGTTTTTTTTATGGAATCAATATATATTAGTCAGAATTCAACTACAAAGTTTAATTACTCATACGTTTCAACTTTTAATTTGGTCATCTTTAATGAAAACATAACAGCAGTGGTTAGGTCATAATATAAAATTTCGTTGAAATGCAAGTTGAGTACTTATTCTCACTAAGCATATTTCACACAAACTACATATTATAATTAATATAATATAATCAAGTATATGATATGATTGTACTAATGAAGAGTGCCTAAAAAAGGACAATCTTTGCTGTATTTAATTAACTTGTTGGATTTCAATGGAATTTTATGTTATGACGTGACCATCGCTGTTATATTTTTACTTGAATTCTGATTAATATATATTCCTAATGTGATTAATTGATTCCGCAAAAAAAAATTTAGCGTTCTCGCCTCAAAAAAGCGTTTTTATTAATATTGAATATTTCAATTACTAGTAAATATATTTTACATTCCAGACAGCACAAAATATTTCCGATAAATATAAATAAATACGTATAATTAATATTTTTTAATAAATATTTTAGTAAATATTTTTTCTTGGAATGTTTTATTAAATATTTTTATGTTATTTATTACATAATGTATAATAAATATTTCATAACATTTATAATAAATATTTATGATTTATGCACTTTAAGACCATATAAATACATTTACAAAATAATTAAAGATAAATCTTACAAATATTTTGTAAATTGTTTTATAAATATTGTGTGTTGTCTGAGATAGTTACCAATTGAAGAATATAGTCCAAGGTCGGTCAAAGCAAGAAGCTCGTCACGATTTTTCTTCGAAGCAAAATAACATTGTCCAGCACTTGATTCAATGTATCCTCCTGCACATAAAAATAAAATCGTTAGTATAAATATTAGAATTCAAAAGTGTTGTATTAAAATTAAGAGGTTAATACAAAATTATATTAATTTAAGGTTCATAGATCTAATCAACAGTACGTTCGCGATATATCTATTTTTTGAGATCGGTCTAGGCTTCGTGATGCACTGTGCTTTATGCACAATGGTAAAATTCTAAAATTAACATAAATAATTCAAAAATCAAGATAAAAATTCCAATCTAAACTATAAGGATAATATCTGACGTTATATCGCAGAGTGTACTTCAAATGAATAAGACAGTCGAAATTATAATATATGTTGCACTGCTGGTTTGCCAAACTGCTCGCCTTTTTTTTTATGGTTGGCAGGGCCAGCAAATAACGGATCATAGTATCGATGTATACATTTCTGCGTAAGTCATTGCAAATTTTATCTTTATTTATTTTCATTTATATAAACCTAAACTTTCAGATATAATGGAGCGTGGTATGAGACATCAAACACGGCGAAAAAAATGCTCTTAATGCTAATCGTAAGGAGTCAGATGATTAGTGAAATAAAAGTGGGGAAGTCCTTCGTGATGAATCTAGAAAACTTCACTGTGGTAATAATATTACGAGCTCATTTTATGTCTTTCTAATTCTTATACATTTTTGAAAATAGAAAAACTGAATCGTACAGACCATTCATATATATTATTTATGTCACTAAGATAAAAAAATATAACAATAATTTATCGTTTTCAAAACATCATGAAAATCCGACAAAATAAATTCCTACAGATTCTAAAATAGTCTATGATGTATGGTCTTCATATATTTTATGTGTCATTACATTAAACCATCTTTATTATATACTAGCATCAAAGTAATATGTAATGTTTTTTGAAGATAATGAAAGCGTCACTCACATATTGCATAGTAATGTTATCAATGCGTGAAGAATGAAGCAGCAAATACTCATCATGAATTTTGCAGTTGGTAGTATGTCATACACGTGATTAAATTGAAAAATTATTTTGAAGAAAAATATAAAGTTATAATAATTTAGTATGTATATGTGTTAAATAATATATTTATACCGGTTTTTTGCAATATTTATTTTCATATTACAATAATCTAATTATCTAATAGATATTCTTATAATTAATCAATTTTTTGTATTTACAATAATAGAATTATCTTTTGATATTGTTTTAATCTGTTTACATATGTTTCTGTCAAATAAACAATCCATTATTGCACAACTATGTTTGCTGTAAATTAAATTATTGCTTTTAACCACTTTATAAATGATAATATTTTTTATTTCATAATAAAAACATATGTATCTAAAATAATTGACATATGGCGACGGGCTATGTCATGTGGAGTATAACTACTGTCTTATCTGTTTTACAAAAGCGAATATATTATTCGCAGAATTAAACGCTATCATCTATTGCTTTATGCAAAGCTTTATAGTTATACAATGTCGGGCGAAATTAAAATTATAGGACTCCTCGCGTGTCATTCATTTGCGAGAAGCGTCTCCCCTTTATTACTTATTCCATTTAATTTTACATATTATATGTATATTTCTCTTTGCGAAAGCATCGACACTCCAAGAGAATATCAAATGAACACCGTGCGGATGAGGGTTGGCGGAAACTTACCTTCAGCTATTTAAAAATTCTGCTAGAATACAAATCAATGGACGTCTTTGAACCCGATATTTTCGAGTTAACAAGCTGTTGTTGTCGTTTCTCAGTTTGTCAATGCAATTATCATCGAACAAAAAGAAATTTTTTTTATTGTACAATGTTTGGTATATTAATTATAATATTGCCACAGGTACAAATTTTTGCACGAGTTAGAAAAAAATCGTAAGAAAATCAATATTGAAATTTAATACAATGCATGAGAGCGGCTCATTTTCTTTACTTTTTTTCACTTTTTTAGATATTAACAGTAAAATTGAAGAAGAGAATAAGAATCATTCAGAACCGCTTACTGAGCGTTCAGTGAACTTATGATGTAAAAATTCAAGGTGTAGCATTGCGCATAATAGCGATAGCAATACTAAAATCAAATTTTGTCCAAAATTCACTCTTCTACTGTGATTGTGTTCCAAAATTGATTGCCAGTACTGAAAATCTATAGTGCACGTAATGTAAACTGATAAATGAATGGATTTAGGATTGCAATCTTCTCAATCCTAAAAGAATGCCTTGCCTGTACTGACATGCATACGTATTACGATAGCACGTAAATTTCTGTAACAAATAAGCGTGCCGCTAGTATTTTATATATACTCTTATTTCAAAAAAAATTTTTAAGTTATTATAATAGAATTTTCTATATAGAAAATAAATTTTTCTATATAGAAAAATTAATTTTTGATTATAACTCATGTACATATCCTAATTTTTATGAATATGTGTTATAAATACACGCATAATGTAAGATTTTTGTTTAGATGAAGTGTTAAAGGAATTCCCCGTTTATTAGCAGAATTTGTTTTGGGTATAATTAATTATTTATTATTGTAATTAATTATTTATTATTATAATTATTAATTATTATTGTAATTGTTAATTATTATATTGCAGTTATTAATTTAAATAATGATGACTAATTTAAAAATTATAAAATTAAGATATAATAGAGTGTGATATCAGACCTCTTCAAAAGCATAAAAAATATTATTATTTTTAATAATGAAATATAAAAAATCGTATCACATAACTGCGGTGAAATTATATGCAATCTATTTGGAAAGTTACCGAGTTACAGCTCGGTATAATAAAATTCAGTATATGAATATTAGCTGCAAAAATAAGTAACTCTCAAATTTGTATAAATAATTTATTTGATAATTTATTTGGATTGACGGATGACCTTAACACAGTTATCATTACCTTGAGTAATTTTCAAAAAATTTTAGGTGCCACGCCGATCATAGGTGTTCGTCCAAAAGATATTAATAGATAAAGTTTCAAAAATAATATCTTATTTCTGCTATCGTACGCCCCGAGGTAGAGGAAAGAAAAGGGTCGAACTCCCTTCGCGTGGAAAATCATATGGCCGTCAGTAACATATATGTACAATATAAAGTATGTATGGCAGAAATAACACATTATTTTTTAAACTTAATTTCTTAATAACTTTTGAATGTATAGTGACCATCAGCTAAAATCTTTTGAAAGTCACACAGGATAATGGCCTTAACATATGATAAAATCAAGGTCATTGGCGTGCTGTCCGTTAATCTGAATAATTTTTATTTATTTTTTAACAATGCCTAAAATACAATATTTAAAAATTTTTTATTCAATTTTGCATATACAAAATTATATATAAAAAATATACATTTTAATATTATATTATATTTTTAAAATCATGAAAACGTCCGTTTTCTACGTTACGATAATGGTATCATTGAATTCGAACATATAATCATTTGTATAATGGAGATATGTGATTTGTACTTATTATCAAGAAGATAATCAAATAGAAATATTTTTGTTCTCATACGTATTATCAAAAATTTTTGATAGTTAGTCTTAATTTGTTTAGATATATTTCTGTAATTAAACAATCCATTACTACACAACTATGTTTGCTGTAAATCAAATTGTTGCTTTTAACCACTTCATAAATGATAATATTTTTGATTTCATAGTATAGAAATATATATCTAAAATAATTGACGTATAGCGACGGACTATGTGAAGTATAACTACTGTCTTCTCTGTTTTACAAAAACGAATATATTATTCAGAATTTAACGCTATCATCTGTATTGCTTTATGCAATGCTTTATACAATGTCAATGGCATGCGAAATTAAAATTGTAGGACTCTGCGTGTCGCTCGCTTGCGGGAGGCGTTTCCCCTTCATTACTGATTCCATTTTACTAATTCAATATATTATACGTATATTTCTTTGCGAACGCATCGACACTCCAAGAGAATATGAAATGAACCGTACGGAGGATTGACGGAAATTTCACCTTTAGCTATTCAAGATTTCCGCTTCAACACGAATCAGTCAGGAATGGACATCTTTGATACCCGATATTTTCGAGTTAACAAACTGTTGTTGTCTTTCTTCGGTTTGTGGCCAATGCAATCAACTTCCAACAAAAATAAACGTCTTTGTTGTACATTATTTGGTATATTGATTCTATTACTGCCGCAGGTATAAATTCTTGCACGCGGGTTAGAAAAAAATCGTAAGAGAGAATCAATATTGGATTTTATTATAAATTTTCTGAAATTGTTAGTGATTTTTGCGCTATTTGAATTATTTTATAATGGTACATAAAAAGTTATAAATCTCATTACGATATGATTTGTTAATAGATTGCATTCTTGTTCAAACGTATGAGATGCTTGACCGACTTTTACGATGTTCTACCAACTTTTCTTGGCACATGTATATGTCTCTTGAAAACAATTGGTCTTCAATGGCAGAATGAAAAAGTGAGTATGCCGTAATGCATAATGTTATTTTTCGTCTAAGAAAAATTGCCATAACTACAGTTTAGGATGCTTATTCAACATGTTTGTCATGATTGGTGCTTATTATCGAAATTCAACGATATTTGGATTTTAATGGAATATATGAAGAGAAGTCGGATGTTCACGCTGGTCTTTTTAAGTACACCTAACGATAAGTATACTCAATGATTGTTTTTCTAAGTAATTATGCAAAAAAAGACAATTCCTTTTACTAGTTTTTACCCTCACGGGCGCAGCCAGTTTTGTGACAGCACCACTGACCATACCGTTACTTGACAGTATATTAATGTTAAATGTAACAAGAACAAAGCAAATGCCGCACCCGACGGAGTTCTTTTTGGATATGGAAAAATATTATTATATTCTTTTGGCATTAACGATTGTGGGATACAGTGTATGCTGTACGGTAATAGTAGCAACTGACACCATATATATCGCCCTGCTGCAACATACCTGTGGTACGCTAGCTATACTGAGGTATTCTACTAACTTTGATTTACTTTACTTATCGATTTATAAAAAAATAAAATTTTACTATTATGTATATTACTATAAACTTACAGCTATCGTTTGAAAAGATTGGCTACACACGATAAATCGAAAGAATGTTTCGATCCCACATTTAAAGAGGATAGAGATGTTGAGAATATGGTGAATTGTATACAACTTCAAATCAGAATAGAGAGGTTCTTATAAATTGAGCAAAGTTAAAGTCTATCAGAAAATATTACAAATATGATACGGATTTTCCTATCTCTATTTGTTACCAATAGACTAATCTACTTGATTGAATCGACGTTCGCGACATGTCTTATTACCGACATTGGTTTAGGAATTCTGCTTCAATGTACTGCGTGCGTGATGGTAATAAATAATATATATATTCTATACTCAATTAATATCTATTAATTTAATAAACTGTACTGATTCATTAATACATGTCATGAAGAAAAATGTTTTCTTCCGTATTGATTTAAAACGGGTCGCTAATATGGAATTTTCGTAGATCGTGACTCGTACGGAATTGGTAAGAAACGGTCCACTCGTACTCATTCAATCTCTTCGATTCTTCTTGAATAGCTGGCTAGGACAGAATATAATAGATCACAGTTCTCAAATTTCTGTTGCCGCGTAAGTTATTAATGTAATTAATTAATAACGATGACTAATTTGAAAATTATAAAACTTTTAGATATAACGGAATGTGGTATCAAACATGTTCGGAAGCAAAAAAGATGTTGTTATTTCTATTAATGAAATGTCAAAAATCATATAACATAACTATGGTGAAATTATATGTAATCTGCTTGGAAAATTACAGCTCGGTACGATAAAATGCAGTATATGAATATTAGCTGCAAAATTGAGTAAATCTCAAATTTGTATAAATAATTTATTTTTTAACAATGCCTAAAATATATAAAAATATTTTATTTAATTTTGCATACATAAAATTATATATAAAAAATATACATTTTAACATTGTATTATTTTTAAGCTCATGAAAACATCTGCTTCCTACGTTACACTAATGGTATCATTAAACTCGGATGACGTGTAACTATTTGTAATATGAAGGTCTGTGGTTTGTGCTTGTTGACAAAAAGATAGATTATAAATAAAAATATTTTTGTTCTTAAATGTATTATCAAAAATTTTTATGTTGTACAATCTTTACAATATTATATTTCTTATTCTCATTTTTTAATTAATTTTCAATTAAGTTTCTTAATAAATTTAATAAATCTATTTTAATAAATTTAATAAATTATAATAATTTGCATGCAGTTATATATTTGTGTACAGTAAAAATACAGTAAAATTGTGCATTTGTGTTGAAAATAATCCGTTTTGATAATAATTTGTGAATTTTTTAATATACTCGAGTATTAAATTGACATAATGTGTGATTATATTACTTAAAGATTTTTTGTTAAAATGATTCAACATTTATTAGTTCAAATGATACAATTTGTGATAAGTCGTTAAAATGAATAAATAACGTAAAAGTAGTGTTTAAAACGTAAATTTTAAGATAAATGAATAAAATGTACATTAATTTATCACATCATACTTGTTAATTTCAATAAGAATATGATTTCACGTTTTGTTTATAAACTGTGTCGATTCTTATTTGTATTTATTCTTTTATATAAGGGTGTCCCACACAAATCGCCAAATATTTCATGGGCAGTCCGACAATTTTAGTAATATTATTATTTTAATTTATTCTAACATTAAGAATGATCCGATTGGCTTCGAAACGTATGTACTTTCGATTTGTTTGGTTTTTTTTTAGTATTAAATGTTTATTAATGTCAACTGGTTCGTAGCCCTTCTTAATATTTATATATTTGATTTATTCTAATTGAGCCATTTTATCTATTTATATAATCTAAATAAATGGAATCATTATTAAATTTTAAATTTAAAAAAATGTCTAAAATTTAATATCTTATAAAAGATATGCAGACAAAGAGTAAGGAAAAAGAAAGAGAGAAAGACAAAAAAAGAAAACTTATGTACATTCATTCTCTTTCAAATTCTATTTGCAGCATCGGTATATTTAACGTAAAAATATTAAATTTGATAAAATTAATTACTTCAGTATATCGACTAATTTCTTTGGCTTAAATAAAATGTGACGGTTTTATCTTTGCGATTCTGCAGCAGTTTGGGTATATACTTACTACCATTTATCTTATAGTTTTAGGAATGTCGCTTAATTTATAAAGCGATGGATATACAATGTATAGTCGCAGTTACAGACCTCTTTGATCACAAAGAGAATTGGTCTTAAGAGAAACGCGATATATTACTCATAAATATGTGATTGCGTGATACTGTGGAATACACATCATTGTCTTTTCGTTAGGCTATTTTACTTTTTGAAAACCTCTCAAAGGAATACGGAAATACTGTTTCAAGGAAATAAACTCTGCGATTAGATGTGAATATTCGACGAGATATCTGATCATTTCGAATGATTACTTTTTGATTTCTCAATGTCCTTCTTTGACAATCGCTACTATTATCTTAACAAAATGTTTCTGGCCGTAATCGGCCAATGGCCATTTCAATCGCGACTGGAAAGTAACATGATGTTCGCCATTACATCTTTGTCCACTTTTAGTTTTATATCCTTTCAGGTATTTAAAGAAACGCACAACAGGAAACGTTAAAATCAGCACTGATAATTCGTTTTCTGATTTTCGACAGCTTTGGGGTTTAGCAGCTGGAATAAAGGATCTAAGCATTATTATGGAAAACGCTTCGCAGATACTGGTGAATAGTATGATCGCTATAAAGCTCATTAATTGCGTGTTTACTAATGATAAAGTTCGTATCTTTCGGCTGTATAAAAAACTAACTGTATCATTCTGTGATTATATGTGAACGATATTTTTGAGCTATAGATGAAAGTACTTCTGGAGGACATCAAAAAGACATGGAAGATAGAACATACAGATGCAGAAAAAAAAATATTACAACATTACGCAGAGAAAAGCAGGATTTTCACGATAGGATACGCCAGTAAGTTACCTTTATTTTAAAATTTGTTCATTTTTTTCTATCGGATACATATCTAGCAATATATGAGAAATTAATTCTCTTTATCCTCTTTTTTACTTGTAATGTTGTTATTATTTGTCCAAAATAATGCTATTTTTTCTTCATTTTTTCGAAATATTTTCGACAGCATTATAGAAGTAAGAATGTATTGCAAATTTTTTTTTGAATGTGCAGTCCACATTTTCGTTGTTTTTATTAAATAAACTCTCTTTTCTTTTCTATTAAAATATTGTAACTTTTGAAACATATATAGAGGAAAAGAAGTGACTTATATTTCCAGTTGCTTTCTATGCGACATGGCTTTTCTACACAACAACATCAATCGTCGTTAGCGGAATCTATACGATTTTACCGACAAACAAAACGTACACTGCCAAGTTCCTATATCGGATAGACCATGTTCTTGACATAGACAAATATTTCGAACTGCTGATGCTTCACGGATTTATTAGCGTATTCTACTTATCCTCTGTGCCGGTAGCCGTCGACGCAACGTTTACACTTTGCACGCATCACGTCTGCGCGTTGTTCGAATGCTTACGGTCAGTTGCCCTCGCGAAGAAGGCTGTATCAAGATCTCTTTTAAAAAATTACGACATTATAATTTTTTTTTCATTATAATTTTTAAGCAGTTATAACATAGAGCGCATACGAGGCTCGGATTTTGTATTACTCGAACCAAATATTAAGGATGATGAAGCATATCGTAACATAATTGACTGCATCAAATCGTATCAACATGCTTTAAAGTTAGTTTTAACGTAGTTATATGCGTGCGCGCACGCATGTGTGTGTGTGTGTGTGTGTGTGTGTGTGTGTGTGTGTGTGTGTGTGTGTGTACGTGCGCGCGCGCAATACTTTCACAGCATATTTTAGAGATAAAGTAGAATAAAAATTCTAATACTGTTGGAAATGTTAAGGCTGCAATAATTTTTAAATTATAAGCTAATTTTAATTGCTTATAAGTCAAAAACTATTTTACTTTTATAGTTTCTATTATTATTACTGGATTCTTTGAAATATTCTAAGACGGAAATCCTAATGCAAAACTGTCGAGGTTATAATAATTTGATAAATTGTAATTGAAATACTATTGTAGCGTTGACATTTTCATGTTAGGATTTTTTACTACAGGGGAGACCAGAGTCAGTAGACTATAGGGGTAAGTAGAATAATCAAGGCTAAATTAAAAATAAAGCACGCGAGACACGCGTAAACGTATAAACGTGTATCTATAGTACTTCCTCTCTGAAATACACTCTAAAAATGTAGTACGGTAGTACTACATTTGTTAGACATCCTATATGTGTATGTATATATATGTATATATA